GCTTATTAATTAACCGACTCAATTCATATCAGTCATGTGTGCAAATTAATATGTAATTTACTGAAAAGAGTGACAAACATTGAAATTGGGTTGAAACTCTTTAGTGTATATTTTTGTAATGTGTTCTGACCCACTTAAATTTGAGGTCAACATTGACTCAGCTGATTTGGCAAGAAGCCAAAAGCAATATTTTTCTAACCCTCTTCCTTTGTTCACACACATATACACAGATTTATTTTAAGTAGGCTCGTTTGTTGAATTTACTAACATTTGTTTTTTGAGAAAAACAAGTCGGTATTTAGATATATGTTGAGATTTATGTATTCTACATCACATGTATCAAAACTTTCACATAGAATTTTGAAAATTAGTTCATTTCCTTTTAATATTTATATGAGGAGACGTTTTCTAAAGATTATTTATGAATCCAGAAATGAGGATGTACATTAAAAATGCAGCAAGAGAGTATAAATTTGTTTAAAGATTATTGGATAACCAATTTATATTCTCTAGTTGGAAATGGCGGACAAGAAACCGTCGACTCATATTTTATGTTACATTAAAAGATGTACTCGTTCAAACCCACATCACCCATTTTCAGTCTCATACATTGCCACTAAAGTATCGCACCAGCAACTGGTGTGTAACCCAGAGATATTTACATATTTTAAAATGTTGAATAAACTAGAGTTTGTCCATATCTACTGCATGGCAGTGGATCAGACGAGTTCAACGAAGTAAGGTTTATGGCAAAATTTACTAATCTTAGTAGATGATGATTAAGAAACATTGTAAATTGACTGGGTTTAAAACCGTAAATCACTGGATGTTGACTCAGAAGTTTGAAGGTTGAGCAGTATTTTTGAGAATAGCAGTTCCTGGGTTTGATTCCCGAGAGGGTTATGAATAACTGTTGCTAAGGTACCCATAATGGAACGAAATAGAGGTTAAATGCTCCCTGGTTCTCACTGTTTGCGTAGTTAAGTTCAGTCAGAAGCTTCAAATTACAAAAAATGTCTCAATATATACGTTACACTTACAAACCTTACTTACTTACACCTGTTACCCACCCCTCGTGGAGGAGCATAGGCCACCCATCAGCATTCTCCATCGAATTGATCAACTGCCTTGGGGATCAGACTTTTAGGTTGAAGACTCCGGATGTGGCCCCTTGGGAAAACCACCTACATCGCTCTAGGAACCCACGCCATATCACAGCACACACACAAATCAAGTGACTTGTGTGGCTCAAATGTATTCGGTGCCCCTTTGTACCAATATTTATGTGTTCAAATAAAAAAATAAATACTCATAATCCCCAACGCAGTGTGTTCTTTGGTCTTCCTCTTTTTTGTATCCCTTCAGTATCCCAATTCGGGGCTTGCTACTCAATGCAGTTTAGTAATTCCGTCAATGTGTGTCCTACCTAGTTCTAACGTCTTTTCCAAATTTCCTCCTCAGCTGGAAGATGGTTTGTTCCCTCCCGTATTAGGCTGTTGCTGATGGTATCCGGTCAACCGACATTCAGTATCTTGTGTAAACAATTGTTTATGAATACTTGTACCTTTTTGATGATGGTTTTAGTAGTTCATCACGTTTCAGCCCCGTACAGTAGGACTGTCTTGACGTTCGCATTGGAGTTTCTGACTTTGACATTGGTTGACAGTTGTTTTTAGTCCAATATGTTTTTCAACTGCATGAATATTATCCTTGCTTTGCCAATCCTTACTTTCAAATCTGCATCAGATCCTCCTTGTTCATTGACGATACTTCCACATAAGTGAATGACTCCACATCTTACGGAGTTTCGCCATCAATTGTGATTGGGTTAGTGTTCTCTGTGTTGTATTTGAGAGTCTTGCTCTTTTCCTTGTGCATGTTGAGGCCTATTGATGAAGGGGCTTCTGCTACATTGGTTGTCTCGACCTGCATTTGTTCGTGTGTATGGGGTGGAAGAGCCAGGTTATCTACGAAGATCAAATCTTCCAGTTGCATCAAACCTGTTCATTGCATTTTGTGCTTCCCACCAGGCGTCCAGGTCTTCACAATCTAGTCAACCACCAGAAGAAAGAGGAAGGAGGAGAGTAGGCAGACTTGTCTGTCCTTACTTGGAATGCATCAGCCAGCTTTCCTCCATGCCGTACTTTGCAGTGTAATCTGTCATGAATACCGGGTGGTGTTGACGATCTTCTCAGTTACTCCATAGTGTTAAGGAAGGTTCCATAAGGTTCTGCTTTCCACACTGTCAAACGTCTTCTCAAATGATTGTTCAAAGATGATCCGTAGTGTTGCGATTTGGTCTATGCATGATTGATCCTTACAGAACTCAGTTTGTTGATCTCAAAGTTGGACGTCCACTGAATCTTTCATTCCGTTCAGCGAAATTCCGTTAAAAACCTTTCCTGGTACTGTCGGTAGTGTGATTCCTCAGTAGTCCTCACAGTTCCTCAGATCTCCTTTCTTTGGTATCTTAATGAGGAATCCTTTTTTATAGTCGGTTGGCACATGTTCTTCCTCCCAAATCGTCCTGAATAGAATGTGGAGCCTATTAGCAGTTACTTCTATGTCTAACTTCATTTTCTGGGTTATCATGCTGTCTGGTTATGATGCTATGCTATAATGTCCTTGCCGATTTCTTCGATTGTTAGTTGGGTGGTATATATAGAAGGTCGATATGTACTGCTTCAATGTCCGGTGGGTTCAATGAGGTTAGTCTAATCAATAGCTTTTCAAATTATTTTTACTCGCCTGTTTTGTTGCTCACTTTAGTCATACTGAAACTGCAATTAATATTATCGATATCCTTGAACTTCTTTAATTGGTTGTATTATGGACATATTTTATAATAATTGACTGTAATTCACTCAGTACTTTATCAAGTCTATCATCCAAAGAATGAAGCATAAAGTAAATCACTGTCAATTATTTAGAGTTAGCTACAGTATTCTAACACAATGGTAATGTTTTAGAAATAATGAATACTAAGATTTGTATAATTAAGTATCAGTTATCTAGATTTTTTCAAGTATATAGATAAAGTAATCGAACGTTATATTGTGCCTAACAACTTTGTATCATTCACTTTATTTCTGAACATTATTTGGTTAAATATTAGAATTTATTAAAAAATTGGCTGGTGTTATATTACTTTTGGATAACTAAAAATTACGGATATTTTCATAATCAACAATCTCACTTGACACATATTTCTTGGATCCATTCAAAAGAAAAATAAGATATAGATTCTAACAGACATTATGCTCTTTCAGATAGCATAGTTTTCTTTTTTGTAACTACAAGGTGCTTAAAATTGTTGAAACAAATAATCCGTAAGATATTTTAATTATATAGAAAAGTTAGACAAACCATTTCCTGTTACATTATCCAAATGAGCTTCCATAGTAAATAGATACTTGTTCACTTAAGGAAGCTTCCTTGAAAGTATTAAATCACTTGTGATTTATATTTTTTAAAGTTGTTAGTTTGATAATTTTAAGTCTTTTTTTCCTTGATCTTATCATAAGATTTTAAAAGGTTTCGATTACATTATTCGAGCTGGTCAGTTGTGACGATTATAAAATTCTTTGTAAAATGTTTGTATAAATTGTTTCATTTGATTGATGCACAACAACAACACCTTTGCTCTATTTGAATTAGTTTCTTTAGAAAGATTCTTTAGAGTTAATCACCCGAGTGAATAGATACTGATTCATATGACAGTAACCATACATAATATATACAATCCATTTGTTAATGGTAAATGATATTTGAAATGCATTAATCGTTTAACCTACTCCCCAACAATATAAGTTTTAATTAATAAGTTCATAATTAGGCATTGAAAAAATTACTCTTTTCTTAGCTAGTTTGCATTTTAAATATTTCTGAAGTATTTCCGTTACATTTCATCGTTGATATCAGAGCGTAATGAGAATACCGAGTTCACTGAACTGCATAAGATCATTCTGCAAACGCACTGAGAGAACAGCTAAGCATTAGATTATTAAAGCAATTATCATCTAAAAGAAACACTTTAAAATCGACATAGATCTCTTTAATTGGTATTATTTCTGAAACTTCGTTGACTGTGAACTTTCATCACAACGCATTCATAACTTGCAATTCACCATATATTTAAAATTGCACATATGTATTCGTAAGCTTAACCTCTATCTGTAAACAGCAGTAATCGGTCTTAAGATAAATGAAGTAAGTGACTTATTCAAATATGTTACCGGCGTACAAAAGTATAATCTACAAAACTAAACTAACTGATATTCGAATAATCGTTGGCGAAAAAAACCAACGACTAACTGCAATACTGAAAATACATCATGCTGTCAATCTGCAATCCAAACATCCTAGTCTGTTTTGTTGGGTTAGATGTTTGGATCTAGTCTAACTACTCTCGTATAAACGACTTAGTAGAAAACTTATGCCTCAGACAGTAGGGCGCGGTAACTCGGTATCACTGCTTTTGCCATTTCTTCTTAACATAAATGATAAAATATAGTGAATATTCGTACAAATGTCCAGACATTTTGACTATTGATCTACCGAGCCATTCGATGAATACATTATCTGTTAAGAGTATTAAAAATTCTAAAAGGTGAGGATTTCAAATTAAAAATGCTGTACCGTCTTTTAGACAACTTAAACTAGTAACTCAATAAATGCAATCGGCTACAGTTTCTTTACTGAACACATCTATATTATCATTTGTCGTAAATAGCAGACAGGTTTAATACGATGTTCATACGATATCTTTTTTCCATAAAACAGAGTTTATGACATTTATTTAGTTATTGCATCGAACAAGTATTTGAATGCATATCATTTGGGGCAAGCAATACAAAACCAGTAATTGATAATAGGATCGGCACATCATGATCCTTTTTTCAATGGTATCTGGATCCACCAAGTATCATCAGAAATCAGTTCTCCCTATATATACATTAAACATGGAAAAATATCTGGAAATTAACAGAAAAGAGCTTCTTACGTAAGAACATTTGTATTTACCATTCCTAACAGTTTTAATGGTTAAAAAAATTAATGGAAAAACAACTACCAGACAGAATTCAAATCAGTACAGTAATTGATACAATAAATTTAGTATAACAAAATATCCAAAAAAAGAAAAAAGTCAAGTACAGTAAACAAACTTTAACAATAAACAAAAAGAAACTAACATATAAAGGCTATACATAAAGGGAACACACAAAGCAAATTAAGGGGATTAGAGATTTTACTTTTTCCCTATTCTCTTTCTTTGTTCAAAAATAAATCATGATGAACACAAAGAGAAACAATAGAGAATAAAAACTGTAGTTGTGATCGTAATGTTATTGAATAATATTTATGGGCAGGAGGGTTAAGCGGAATGGAAACGACAAATAAACGAATGGATGTATTGAGAGAAAATAAAGAAAGTGAGAGTCAATAAATAGAGAACTATACCAACGCGTAGGTACATGGCAAAATAACAAAACCACTAACATTGACGGAAATAACAAAAATGTCAACAAAAAATCAATGGTTTGTTAAAATTTACAGTATATATATATATGAAAGACTAAGTATTCAGTATACAAATTGTACTTTAAGTACTGGGTCTCTATCGTAAACAAGGTGGAGAAACACAGTGTATATGTTTATGATCCAATTGACGAGTTGATTTAACTGGAAGAAATGCGCTACATTCACTTGGTAACAGTAACTGAACACGACTTTTTTTAGGTGAATATTCTTCATTGGTAAGATCCCAATAGTGACTGTTGAATTTAGAAAAGGGTTAAAAGCGAAATGAAAGATTTATTCAAATGCAAAAGAGGTGAGAATTAAAATCGATGTATTTCAATAACTAATTATAACAAGCGAAAAATAGCGATCTATTCTACTACGTTTTAGGATTCATTGTGGTACATGCTAAACACATTCGCAAATGGTAGATCTGTTAATATTCGCAATATGGCTTACCGTTTCATTGCTGATGGTGAATCATATTCCTTATTAATATCTAAGCCAATTATATCATCAAGGTTTTGTTCTGCATCGTCAGGTGCTCCACGTTTTAAAAATATCGGACGTGCTAGATTAGGATTATTCAGAGTAGATGAACAAATTGAGTGCTGTTCTTGATATTCTGAAATATCCAGTTCACATGGCAAACGTTCCACAATTACAGGAGGAGGGGATGGTACAGAAGGAGATGAATTCAAATCAAAATCGATAATTGAGTTTGAACCAGGGAAACGAACAGTTGTATGAGACCTGATGGTGTCTGAACTACAACTAACTGCCCATTTAGGATGACGACCTGATAAATACAAAATTATAGACTAAAATACAAAGATCGACAGAGAAGAACTGATAGATTTAATTTCAAGAATACAACCAGTAACGCTTACTTGAGTAATTTAAGTGAATACACTGTGAATAACCAAACGCCACACTATTTACGACGTAACTTTCAAAGTATTACATGATTTGTGTCAAAAGCATAGGTGACCATGTTAGTGAATTAGTTTACTAAGAACAGTCATGCACATGGTTCCAGTGAATCATCCTCTTACACTACATTTACTTCCAATGGATACATTTTACTTATAAATATGCCTGTCTTCAATTTGCTTCTGATTTAATAGATACTTAAATATTTTTTCAAACAAAATTTTCACCGTATAAAAATTGACAAGTTTCAACATGAGAACAGAGTGAGATTTTTAGTGCCCTAACAGGATGACAAAGACATTTGAACCTGTATGTGATGCAAAAACATATGACCTGTTTTTGGCACGCGAGCCAGCCTGTCAGACATATGTTTGGATTAGAAGAGACCGAAGGCCAGGGATGAGGGCAACATATGTTAGCGATTCACAAAAGGAGGGTAGGAGTGTGAAATCCACAAGCTAAAATGAGTATTTACAACGTTAAGGGGATGAATATTAAAAGTGGGGTGGAAGGAATATACAATACGAGGTAAGGCGTATTAGTCACCCAAAATGTTTAGACTGGTCTGGAGTGAATAATATAGAGGTCATCGGATTGCTGCCCTAAATTGGACAAAGGATAAGTTATGCGGATGCCAAATACAATGTCTGTGTTTGACGACCACTTTTTAAAATATAACAAGATGGTATATGAACACATTTAAACAATCATTAATTTGTGTGAACTTTCAATCGTTGAGTTTCACTAATATAATTAATAGACATTAATTGTTCAAAGTTTTCTCATACAGCCCAAATAGTTGTCGTTTAAAAAACAACTACTCTTAATTGTTGCATTTTTGACTACATTTAAATAAGTGATTGCTACAACGTTAAAAGAAATAACGCACCCTCGCGTACTTTCACTTCATCATGATTTAATTGAGGTATTTTAATGAGTAAATATCATTATTAAGTGAATAGTTTTGACCATAATGAAGTACACGCAGATGAGTAAGTACTAATCTATATTTACTAACGATTTTAATCCATTGATACGACAAGTATTCTAGTTTTATTTTTACCAAAGTAATTAATTCTATTGGTTAGAGCACCAAACACAATACGTGAGTGCTAATAGATGTAGAGTGCCAAAATTTTATAAGCTATAAAGATCTATAATATTGAGATAAATTCTTACAGTTTTAGATTGCCTAAGCATACCATATACACAATGTGTCACCAAGATGCCTATCTTAATTTCGTAATGTAACTAACGATGAATCGAGTTTTGGATTGAGGCAAGTAAGTAAATGCATTAATACATTCACACTCGAAACAAAAACAAAATTCAGTTGAAATTGACTAGAAAGAAGAGGGAAAATGTGTTAAAACAGCATAGATCTTAATGCAAATAGGCGACTAACGAATTGAATGTTGCATTAACCCTAACAATCGCGGTTTACTGTCGTTTAAATAATGAAGAGGATAGAAATAATCAGATTACACCATTATTTGTCACCCAAATTTGTTGATCTCATGTAAACTCGGAGAAAAATCCATTCACTTTCAGATAATTTCGCCCAAACCTTGAGTATAATAGACAATAATAACTATATGTGCGCCACTTTCATGTACGGGGCTATAAATAATATCCATTGTATAAGATCTAATTATACTTGACTTTTGAATGTAATGAGTTATCAGCCGCCACATCTAGTGATTAACAGTCCACCCTAGACAACACTATCACAACTCTACATAGCATGATGACAACATAAAAAACAAAACAAAACGAAACGCCTTAACAATGATAATCATAATGAACAACAAAGAATCGTTAAAAATGTTGGTAATGCAGAATGTTTTCAGATAACTGTTGTACAAGATCTAACAGGTTAATATGCAGCTATACTTAGTTTTCGTAAGTTCATATTTAGAGTTAGCTTGATTAAAAATTCAGGATATAAAGATATGACTATTTTGAACAATCATTTACTAGACAGAACTGTTATCTGGGTTGTATTACCAAGTCAGACTGATGAAATAAAGAATGACGACTATCATGAAGCACGATAAATTTTGGCACAAGACGTTGCTGTTGAATTATAGGTTGTTAATAAGTACTCAATTTTTATGAATGAAACATCGAGTGATTTAAGAAATAGAAAACAAGACAGATCTGTAAGATGAAGGTAGAGTATTGTTAAGAGCAACAAACATATGCATTTGATATGATGTCGAGACATTATTACTTAAGACATTTAATACTGATCAACTAATCACTTAGGTTCTACAAGATTTCCAAAATAAACCTCCTCGGGTCCCATACTGAAAAACAAGCAATTAATTAGTCTTATAAAAGAGTTCATCTAGCAAAAGTAACTTGCCCACGTTGCCCCACTAAACAAGCTATAGGGTATTTCAAGCAGTTAGAAAATGCATTCCAATTTCGTTTACCCATGCCTTGATTTCAGGAAGCAGTAATCAGCTACTCATTTATTGAATTCAACCAAATGAAGACATACTCATAAAATAATCGCCGGAGACAAAATTTTAATGAACTTACGAATAAAAGAGCCACCATTCGGTAGGATATTTGTTATGGGAGCCAAAGGTTTTAAATTAACTTCTTCTAAATATGCTACTGTTCCGGAAAGCATATTGGATCCTTCGTCAGTATTGTTATTGAGAGGGGATGGAAGGGAATAAGAACGACTGATTAGTGTTAATGATACACCACTAGGAGGAGGTAGGGAAGGTGGTGTTGGGTAATTCGAATCCCAGTTTATGTTTTCTTGACTAAGATCTGCCTCTAGAACTTGTATGCTTGGACAGCGTGTTGAATACGAACACACTGAAGAAAATAGACATGGGACAGGTTTAAGCAGGTTTTCACACTCAAATTCTAGATGATCATTTCCACTCCTGTCACTCTCTTCACAAAGCTCAAAGTCACGACTTTCATTTTCACAGCATTTCGCAGAATTTTCAGTGGGAAAAGCAACAATTGGAGGAGGGGCTTTTGGTCTACAATGACGATACCAGGGCGATGATAATGTAGTTGTAACTGGACTCGGGATGAAACTATTTGGATTCTTTTTAGTGCTGGACAATAAATGATTTTCCAAGAAGTCCGATTTTTCAGTATGATAGACTAATTGTAGTTCCCTGTTCTGAGACAAGGTATTAGTAGAATCCTAATAGGTGAATAAAGAATGAAATAAAATACCTAGAATTCTAGTTTTTAACGTCAAAAGAAATATCATATTTTATCGACAAAGAAGCATCAACTTGAGTGTACTAACAATGAATACTGCGGTTACGTTTAAAATCAACTGACTTTCTTCACATATTTCATGAAATAATTAGCAATACCGAAGTCGAAATACAACGAACCTGAATTAAAAGGTGCTCGACACGATTAGCCAACTGGGTTACGTGACCAGATTTGTTATTTGAAATCCCAATGGTTGACGATAAACTATTGTTAGAATCCGTAGTATTTTCACTCTGTTTGTATGTGGAATGTTTTTTATTGCAATAGGTTTTCAAACTTTTACGAGAATATCGGGGTGAGTTTGTTTTAAATGTTTTTGAAGTAGGTCGGTAATTTAGTGAGAAGACATCTTTTTGGGCTTTCTGAAATCAAGCAAAATTTCAAAGGTAAATGAAAAAGATAGTTCACAGATAAGTGATTTTTAAAACAACCATAGTTACTGATTCACATGGGCAAAAATCATAATCGGAAGTAGTCTTTTATTGCGAAAATCTAAATTGTTTTCAGGAAGTCTAAACCACTTATGAAACCTAAGAAAAAATTACAAAACCTTTAGTAAGGGTATATGGTTGTGAACAGATACATGTACCTAATCTAAATAACATAAAACTAAGGTCATGCGAAAGTTTTTGAATCCCGAAGTTTTTGAATCAGTATAGGATGTTGTAGGTGGACACTGGTGTTAAATAGGAACTAAAATCAAATAATAAAGTTAATCACATGGTAATATATGGGAACAAAATACTACGGATAGAAATAGGACTAGTTTAATATATATGCTTTACATATCATCAGCAGTGACAGTTATTTTATTTTGACTAATGAGGCAATAAATATCAACGTACCATATCAGTAACAACCGACTTTACCTCTTGTCGGGCAATTAACGACTTGTCCAGCTGCATCCAATAGGTCTCACTTACATTTGAAGAACACATTAGTTTACTATCAGTAAACAACTTATTTCTCGGATCCAATGAACCTGTAAAAAATTTCACATAAAACAGAATTAGATAAACACCACTCTTACAATGCAAACCTACTATTAGCTGCTGACAGGAAGTGAAACGTTATGTGACTTTTTGCAAACAAGAAACCATAGTTTGATAGAGTGAGTCAGAAAAAGGGCTATTTACATGAATCAAAAGCCAACCAAATTATTAATTAGTTGACATAACGTAATTAGGAAACTTGCTAAGAAACGCAAAGCCTAAAAGATCGGTTGGGAAGCGAAATGTTTGACATAGTCATCATCATGTAATCAAAAATCAAGTAAAGTTTGTTGACAGTTGCAAATTAGTGTTGGTCAAATGAATGTTTGATGCGATACGTAGCTTGAGAATGCGATTAAATAGACTAACAGAGGAAAATGTTGGAAATGTTATCAACATGAGTAAATGTCAAAAGAAAAAATAAATGGTCAAAACCAGAAAAAATATTACTTAGGTTGATAATTGAAGGATCAGAAAATTATGTATCGCAGACTAACTTGGGGTACATCACTCAAAGTTTGCTCAAAATTATATCGTTTCAAGTTGCATAGTCCTTTGAAGACATTTTTTCTTTCAACTTTCCTGTTCAAAACGTTGAGCCTAACCCAACATTGCCCACTCGATGATCCCATCAAAAGAGATCAATATCACAAAAGTATATACAATTCTGATATAACTTTCGTGGGATAAAGATTCTACTACTTATTGAAGAACGATGAGACAAAACAAGATATTTGGCTTTGTTGTGATAACTTTCTTACACGAGAATGGCAGTACATACATGGTAAATATCCATTTAATCAATACTGAGTCTATTTTAAGCTTGCTTATAAAGACGAAGAATTGTTATTAGCTAGAAGTGAAATTTATATTGTCATTTGTAGATGTTACATGTGCGAAAGTACGGTGTGATGCTGCATGGATGACCACTTTTGTTCGCACCGACTAAAACTTATGCAGAGAATATACGCGATAATATAATCAAATAAAATTCTACCGTTTAAAGCGGACAGTTATCAATAGTAAAAGAACAGCAATAATGTTTGGAAGTCAAAAGAATTTTAAAAGACTACTGGTTTCAATCAAACTACTGGCAATATATTGTGCTAAAATTTAATATTCCAGATACTATCTAGAAGTAATCGGAATTTCGAGGACATTTCTGAAACACTTTACAAAATTAAAACAACACGATGAAGCAAAACTACTATGAAGACACTAAAGTAAACGTGCGTTTGACACAACTGCTTTTTGGTTAGACTCGGATATTTGTAGTCGTGACAACGAAATGGATTTTCAGACTGTTAAAGTAGAACATAAAGCAACCAATACGCTTCAAAGTTTATTTGGTATTTTTGATTGTTGAGCTACCAACTATTAAGCACTAAGCAACAGGATTACTAGATAATCTGGCTAAATGCTGTATCAGCTCTAAATAGAAAATCAGCCAAACGAGAAAAGATAATTTATCAACAGCTTATTGCGAATAGTTAGTGACTAATGTTCAAAGCTGAGCATCTGGACAGTGATGAGTTATTAAAACGATGACGTTTGATAAGCATTGATAAGATCCATTCTTCACAACCACGAGGTATTATACCAAAGGTTCAACGTATGTTAACTAAACGAATTTTTCATATATTTCGAACACGTACCTTAGGTAAACGTAGGTGGTTATTAAACGAACGCTCAACAGTTCTTAGAGCTAATAATTTAAAAAATGAGGGTTCTTAACATCCAATTTAGTCAATATCCAGAGGTAATTCATGTTCCATGCAACATGAGTTGTATTTGCTAATATGATTTCTTAAATCACATGTAAATAAAAATCAGATCATGGTTTAAAAATTTTTTAACAACGCAACTGTTTGACAGAAAAACATCGAGTATATGGAACGTCGTATTAGTGACGGATCATCTAAACGATATGCAATTCCATGTCTTATATACAATGAGAACTGTATCACATAACAAAGAAAGCTGAATCCAATACAAATAACTCACATTCTGTTGATTTTAGAAACTCTGGTGAACTTGCGCAATTATGGTGTTGAACTTTACTTGACTCCACCGAAGACATACTAACTCGTTAACATAGTGCAGTTTTGGGTAATGCGCTAATTGATTTACTCAGTAAAACAAACAAGATCTCATTAATTGATCGGCAAGTTTGGAAGCAAGTAAAAAATAAGTCTAACTAAAAAGCAAGATCTGCAGAAAAAACAGAACTCTAGATTACTTTTCATCACTCCACAAGTTGTACAGGGTAATGGATACTTAATACTGAGAACAGCGAATCCGTTTGCATTAAAAAACCTGAATACATCAAATTCTTAAGAGAGGTCTAGTAAAATCCGTCGAAACTACCGTTTTGTAAAGCAATTTGCTTGTGACCAATGCCTATCCATAATATTTGAATGGCTAACTGTTCCATAGTCGACCATTCAAATCTGTTGACTTCTACTATATATTTAATTTAAGGTCAAGGCCAGGATACACTGGTATTACAGACAAATTTCGAAATTGCTGAATTTCTGCCACAAACTCATTATATTTTGATGAATAGCCAAAAGTAGTTTAACATGACTACTCTGTCCCCCAGACATATTTCGGACTTGATTTTCATCTATTGTAATGACTGGCCGCTAGCGGAGCTTTAAACATGACTGACGTTACATTGCTGACTCTTGCAATAGGTTGAGTCAGTGTAGATAATAGTGTGACTTCCACATAAGATATTACAAATCAGGTCTACACATCATGAAATATCTACATTTTTGAGATAACGTCTATTATTATAGCGACAAAGATAACAGCCTTGATAGAATATAAGTCCGGAACTCCACTAATTTCCCAGCACACAATAAAAACGAGTTTGGCCAATCTTAATTGGTCTACATTTCAACTAGTCTATATTCTGATTTAACTAGCCTTATGATATAACTGAGACGCTTTGATGTACTATCCCTTTCTTTCTGAATGATTTAGAAGTGAAATAATGACGTTGCGAATTACAATATGGAACACTACAACGGATAGTATAGAAAACGTGACGTGATCAGGTTGTTAAATAAAGCTCACAAGTGATCCTCATTTCATCCCCGTAATGAGGTATTACTGACTACTGCGAAGCAAACTTAGACCCTTAGCAACAACTTCACCTTTCCTCAAAATAATGGAAAAATTACTGATACAACCACTTCAACCTGTAATAAAAGAGCACTGTGATCTATATCAGTTTGTTTACAAATGCAAAAGAAGCTCATTAGATGCCGTTGCTGTTCTGCATCACAACATAGTGTTCGGGTTGGAAAAGTGTAAGAAGTATGTTAGATGCGCTTCGCTGGACTTTACTTCTTCTTTTGATTCTATTCCAAGACACCTCTTACTTAACAAGCTGATCAGCGTCGACACTGACAGCTGAATAACCAACTGGCTATGTTCCTACCTTTCTGAAAGAGAACAGTACACTGTATTTGAAGAAAAGTGTTCGACATCTCTACTGTCTATGTAGGTGTGCTACAAGGAGCTGTTCTTTCACCTCCGCTCTTCTCTTTTTTTGCATGATCTGCCATCTTGCACAAGAAACACTTTTGTTAAATATGCGGACGACCTCACTGTAGGTATGCCGATTTCTACCTCCTTACATCCCATAGAAATGAAGGAGTTTTCACCTAGTATTGAATGACGGTCTGTTGTTAATGGTCTCTTACTTAATCCATCCAAATGTCAAGCTGTTAACTTTAGTTTGAGACATAGACAGAAACTATACACCATTTTGGGATCCCATAATGCTTGTGCCATTGAAGACTCCATGATAAACTGTTACGTCGCGAAATTATTGCTTATTGCGAAAGGACTACACGAATTTCTACTGATTGACCAAATTCAGATATCCTAGTTCGACCCCAATACTGTTCCCCAACCCCAATAAATCAGAACACAGCCGTTAAATGAGAATTGTTTATGGGGTCAGCAGCAGAGCAAAAATGGTTTACAGACAAGGCATATTTATACAGTTACGATGACTATTAACAGTAACCAATGGAAAGGAGGGACACGTAAAGGTTATAATAAGGACAACTCAAAATTGACCAATAGGGAAACGACACGTGAAAGTCATGGTTAGGACAACTGTAATAATGGGCAATAGGAAATAACATGTAAAATATGTGAAGAGACTGAAAACATGCCAATTTACATAAGAGATAATTTTTGGGATATTCCTGTGAATATCATAACATAAACACAGTGTCGAAGGTAAAATATCTTGGTATTACTTTTTTTCCTTTGATCTTTCTTGATCTTCTCATGTTTTACTGTTATCGAAAAAAGTTTACCGTATAACTTACTACATAAAGAGGCTGCATGCTTTCGCGATTACTTGCCATTTACACATACAGTTTGTAAATTCCTGCGTATTACCTATGATTCGATATTGTTCTCCACTATTCTTTCCCGACTTGCTTACTTACTTACGCCTGTTACTCCCAATGGAGCATAGGCCGCCGACCAGCTTTCTCCAACCCACTCTGTCCTGGGCCTTCTTTTCTAGTTCTATCCAGTTAATAATAATAAAAATAATATATTTCTGCAATATCAGGTACACGCCATTTTCACAGGCATGATCTACAATTTACAACATATACTGGTTCACAGTATACATCCCAAGCAAGGTTACTTAGTAATTGTAATCTATAAAAGTTGATAACAGTTCATTCGTTCAGATATAATGTGTTTTCATAAGAATAGTTTCCAAAGGGGCATGGCGTCCACGTTACATACCAGATCCAATCTCCACAAAAAGTGTATTAGGGTTTCGGTCCTGCTAAGTATTTATGTAATGCAGCTGTTTAAGTTTATAGTTATAAAGTAGGCTTGTGGAGCGCCAGGTTCGAACTATGACCTTGGGGAAGTGCGTCCGTCGTGCTTGTTCCATATGTCAGAAGTTACATAGCTTCACCCTCAGAGCAAGATTCTGAAGAAAAAAAAAGAAAAAGAAACTGTGGAGCAGCAAGGCATTTGAATATGATCGATAACCAATGCTTAACATTTATTAGTGGAACAGATGGAGGTATGATAAATTATTAGATTAAATTGATACTAGCTCATGTTGCAAGAGTGAACTGTGATTAGGGGCTCCAGAGGAGAGAATGCAACAATGAGTTGTGATATTTATCAAGGTGGAGTAGGTTCCAATGAATGAGTGCAGTCAAGGTTGGAATGAGGAAGAACAGAGAGTGCATATAGAGAGTAGAGTAAAATAGCAACCATATCCTTTACAGTCTAATTTTTTTCATTATCCGATGCCTGCCACACAGTTTTCATGTAAAAGTCAGAGTAAGCATGTTTTTATTCTTGTTCATTCTTCTCATGTCTGTCTCTATTTCTCGGCGTAATGTGTTCTTTTGTCTCCCTCTTCTCCTTTAACCTTCAGGATTCTGTAAGAGGGCTTGCCTTGTGACAAAATTAGGTGATTTCCTCAAAATGTGTCCTATCCACTTCCAACGCTTCTTCTTGATTTCTTCCCCCGCTGGAATCCGGTTTGTTCTCTCCCACAGTAACTTGTTGCTGATAGTGTCTGGCCATCGGATCCGAAGTATCTTGCGTAGACAACTGTTAATAAACACTCGTATCTTCTGGATGATGGCTTTCGTACTTCTCCACGTTTCTGCCTCATACAGTAGAACTGTCTTCACATTTGTATTGAAAATTCTAACCTTGGTGTTGGTTGACAATTGTTTTGAGTTCCAGATGTTTTTCAGTTGTAGGTATGCTGCTCTTGCTTTTCCGATCCGTGCCCTCGCATCTGCATCTGATCCACCGTGTTCATCAATGATGCTGCCCAGATACGTAAAGGTTTCCACATCCCCCAAAGCTTCTCCCTCGAATGTAATTTGATTGGTGCATGTTGTATTGTATCGGAGAGTCTTGCTTTTCTCTTTGTTTATATTGAGACCTAATGCATTTGTTGTTGCGTTTGTGATAGAAGAGCCAGATCAGCCGCAAAGTCTAAATCGTCAAGTTGCATCCTGTCTGTCCACTGTATCCCGTGCTTTCCTCCAGATGTTGACGTTTTCATGATCCAGTCGATGACCAGGAGAAAAAGAAACGGTGAGAGTAAGCGACCTTGCCTAACACCAGTCTTTACTTCAAACGAGTCGGTGAGTTGTCCTCCGTGGACGATTTGGCAGTTTAGTCCATCATAGGAGTTCCGTATGATATTGACTATCTTCTCAGGCACGCCGTAGTGTCGAAGAAGCTTCCATAGTATTGTCCTGTCCACGCTATCAAATGCCTTCTCGTAGTCGATGAAGTTGATGTAGAGTGATGAATTCCATTCGATCGATTGTTCCACAATGATACGTAGAGTTGCGATTTGATCTGTGCACGATCTATCCTTACGAAATCCAGCTTGTTGATCTCGAAGTTGGGCGTCTACGGAATCCTTCATCCTGTTTAACAATACCCTGTTGAAGACTTTCCCTGGTATTGAGAGGAGAGTGATGCCACTGTAGTTGTCACACTTGCTGAGATCACTTTTCTTTGGTGTTTTGATCAGAAGTCCTTTTTCCCAGTCTGTTGGTACTTGTTCTTCATCCCAAATCTTACTGAAGAGGATGTGTAGTATCTTGGCAGTTGCTGCTACATTTGCTTTCAGTGCCTCTTCCGGGATTTTGTCTGATCCCGCTGCTTTGCCACTGTTGACGTGTCTAATGGCCATGCTGATCTCTTCAATTGTTGGTGGGCCAACATCGATTGGGAGGTCTGTGGGTGCTGCTTCGATGTTGGGTGGGTTCAGTGGAGTTGGTCGGTTCAAGAGTTCTTTGAAGTGTTTTACCCACCTGTTTCGTTGTTCTTCAATGTCGGTGATTACTTTGCCTTCCTTGCTTTTCACTGATCTTTCTGGTTTACGGTAATTTCCAGTAGGTTTCTTTGTTGTATCATACAATTGTCTCATGCTTCCCTCTCTTGCAGCCTTTTCCGCTGTCATCGCTAAATCTTCCACATATTTACGTTTGTCGGTTCTGATGCTCCTCTTCACTTGCTTGTTTGCCTCTGTGTATTCGGCTTGTGCCTTGGCTTTTTCCGCTCTTGTTCGGCTGATATTGATTGCTGCCTTCTTGTTCCTTCTTTCTTCAATTTAATCCAGTGTACCAACAGTGATCCATTCCTCGTGATGGTGCTTCTTTTGGCCCAGAACCTCTTGACACGTTGAAACGATTGCCTCCTTGATACCTTTCCAGTTGCTCTCCATGGTAGTCCCCTCTCCATTGAGTAGATCATGAAAGGCCTCGAACATGTTACTGAGGGCTATGTTGAATTTGTTGAGTTTGTCAGCATCTCGAAGAAAGGCCGTATTAAACTTTTGTGATGTTGTCCGTGCCGTTGTCCACTGCTTCTTGAGTTTTAGTTTCATCTTAGCGACCAGCAAATGATGATCAGATGCTATATCAGCTCCTCTCCTGGTTCTCACATCCTCCATCGTCCTCCTGAACTTTTTGTTGATGCAGATATGGTCGATTTGATTCTGTGTAGTGTGATCCGGTGAAATCCAAGTGGCTTTGTGTATGTTTTTGTGTGGAAATATGGTGCCATCTATGACCAGTTTATTGAAGGCACAT